AATTATGTATATATACTGGTGGTGTTTTTCTAAAGTGTTTTCTTTTCCTCCTTGGGTTAAAAGTGCTTATGAATTGTTAAATTAAATGCATAAAACACAAGCTGGATGAAGAGCAACATAATCAGGCCAGGACTCTGCGGTCTACACTCATCTGCAGGTCAGCCGTCACTCTTTCATGGGAATGTTGGTTTGAGAGAGGAGTGAAGGAAGCCATCTCTGTGAAGAGAACCCATCCATCATTAAAAAGGGAGGAGGTCTCCATGTCCCCCTCTTACAATGCTGTTATTGCTAGTATCACTCGGCCCTCTGTGAATAGCAAGTGGCCATCAGGGCATTAATGATCGGTCATTAGGATGGTGGTCCTGCTTTTGCATGTGAACAGCTAGTCCTGGATGTCAGCAGCAAACTGGTTGATCCACTAAGGTGCTGCTGTTTGTTGCAGCTCCTCAGGCTGAAGAAGTCTTTTGGATAAAAGACAAGATGTTTCAACAAGAAAAATCTGTCCAGAGGACCTGACTCAACCTTGTTGGATATAAAAGTATACCGGTGTAAACGGGGGGAAAAAAGAATAAAAAATTTTAAAACGTAAATATATTTTTGGAATTGCCTTTTGACTTAAATGAGTGGCACAATAGGCATTTAAAGCACCCTGTCTTCATTGAAAATCAAGGAACACCTTGTGCCAAAGAGAACCCCGGAGGGACAAGAGGAAGACAAAAATTGAGTCTTGTAATGCTGGAGTCTGATTGGTCGACACATGATGGGGGTGGAAGACGAGTGTTGTTTGTTTGACAGGTTTGAGTGTGGGTGAAGATGAAGAACACATGCCTCTCCATACATACAAACCCCTTTTTCTTCCTGCCTATATTTTCTTGTTCAATGCACAATTTGCACACAGCACGTGTGCATATTGCTGCAAACTAAAAATGGTTATTTCAGACGAGACAATGAGGACAATAGAGGAGATATCAGTCATGTCTTGAACCCCCATGTCTTTTCTTTTTACCAGAACGTCTCTTCGCTCAGTACGCACCTTCGTCTGTGAACCTGACACATGTCGGTCTGAAGCAACGCCCACCGTCTCATGCTTTTCTCTTAAAAATGAACCAGACTGCTGTTAATTTCAGACATCCATCTACACCAGTCACTACAGCCTCTAAAGTCACACTTTCCCTGAAGAAATATCCTGAGAAGCAGCTGAAAGATGGATGTTGTAATCATGCAGGTGACGAAAGATGTAACGGAGACGGGACTATAAACCAGAGTTTAAATGTTCTCCAACTTCCTTTTATGGATAATTTCTACAGAAATGTAACTGATTTACAGGACTTTTGTTGATGTTGTAAAAGTTCATGTTTAAAGGTTGGAGTGAAACGGTTCCAGAAAGATGATTTCCTGGGGAAGACATAGACTTGGATTCATTATAACAAGTGTCTGAAATACAAGTCTGCCTTGAGTCAGACAAAATCAAATAAATAAATATTGACCTGCTTGTGTGGAAAAAAAAACATCAGTCTATAGAAAAAATGCATGTAAAATGTTGAATAATGTACTTCAAATTATCAAAGTTCCAGTAGCCCCAAGCTAATAACTTATAAAATATTAAATATTTGGCATTCCCTGAAGGAATGCATAGCTCTCTTTACCTTTTTTGTTTTGGACTAATTAAAAAACACTACAAAGTTGTAGGTGTTTTGTCAAACTTTTAAAATAATATGCAAAATTTTGTGATCTTCTGAGATGCTGTGGAAGACTCTCAGCTACTACCACGTCAAATATTGATTCAATGTTTGTAAAGATGATTGAATTTTATCCATTTTTGAATTGGATAAAGTTAGTGAGCTGTGGTAGCCATCTTGATTTGGGTTTAATTCAAATGTTAATGTGTTGAAGATGAGCATCCAGTAATTGTCCACTGCTTCAGGAGATATTGTGCTAACAGACAAACCAGGAATTGTCTTGAGTTAACATGCAGGTTCAAGCAAAGATTGACTCATGGGTTAGCACTTGGATCATTTGTTGTAAATGACTTTGCTAGAAATTTGTTTTAGGAAAACCCATCTGTATATATGCTTCAGTGATTACTTTCTGTAAGTTTCAATACAACTAATAGAGTTTATTCCTGAGATTTTTCAGTGGCAGACACATACAGTAAGTGCATCATGGTTATGAATATAACATGTTTTGTTTTAAAGGGCATCTAAAAATAAAATCCTAATACAGTAACGTGAAAAAGTTCAATTTTTTTTGTCCATCATTTCAGAAAGTGAGACTCAAATAATAGATTCATCACACATAGTAAATTATTTGAAGCCTTTATTTCTTGTAAGTTTGATGATTATGGCTTAAAAAATAATGAAAAAACATAATTTGGTGTCTCAGAAAATTAGAATATTATGAAGAGGTTCAATATTGTAAATTCCTGGTGTCACACCCTGATTAACTCCTACATGAGCTACAAATGTCTCATTCCTCAAGCCAAGCCACTCCTGAACCAGAGACAACATCAGAAGCGTCTTACCTGCTGAGGAGACAAAGAACTGGACTGTCTCTCAGTGGTCCAACGTCCTCTTTTCAGGTTAAAGTAAATGTTCATGTCATTTATAAATCAAGGTCCCAGAGGAGAGGTCCAGGATCCATGTTGTTGAAGTCCAGAGTGAAGTTTCCACAGTGATGGTTTGGGTCCATGTCCTCTGCTGGTTCTGGTCCACCAGGTTTTCTGAAGTCCAGTCCTCGTAGCATCTAGCAGAACATTTTAGAGACTTCATGTTTCCTTCTGCTGACGAACTTTATGGAGATGCTGGTTTAATTTTCCAGCAGGACCCAGCATCGGCCCACATTGACAAAGCTACCAACAGCTGGCTGCTGTGAAATATTCTCATTTTCTGAGACACTGAATTTAGGTTTTACATGATTTTTAAACCATAATCGTCAAAATTACAAGAAACTAAGGCTTTAAATATTTCACACTATATAGTGAATCTATGTAATGTTTGAGTTTCACTTTCTGAAATGATGGACAAAGAAAATTGAAAATTTTTACAGTATTCAATTTTTTATTTTAGATGCACCTATATTATTGTTTAACAACAAAAATCATAGTATCCTTGTACACCTCTGCTAATGATGTTGAGCATACATGTAGGAACAGACTAGAATAAAAATCACCATACTGAGTAATGCCTCACATAAAAGTAAGAAATGCAATATTTTTCCCCTCTTCAGCCCACATTTAAAATGTACAGAAATATCTTAGTTGTTTCACTCGGAGAAAACAGTTTATGTTGCCATAGGGCTGTTTTATTTCTTGTGAGCTACTTCATTTTCCTGCCAACCCCCAGCAAATCCTCAGAGGTATTTTCTCCAACACTAAACCAGCACCTCTTTGTAAAGCTATAGGAGCTTGTTTTATTGGACCTGCAAGCACCGCTGATGCTGTTACAAAGGCAGAAGACTCACACTGTGCAGGCTTTCTTAGCCTTTATGTTTGTAAGTATGTATACTATATGTACTTTACAAGTATACTTTAATTTACAAATATTAATGTAGCCTAATCAAACTGCTGTTGAAAGAAAATGAATTTGAAAGACTTTTACAAATGATTCGTATGGTTGTTTGACATTCAGAAATGGTCTACTCTACAAGAAGCCAACTACAACATCTGAAAAGGGAGATCTGGAGAATATACACTGCCTGGCCAAGGAAAAAGTTACCGCCAAAAAAAAAGGGGTCATACACTTAATATTTTGTTGGACCGCCTTTAGCTTTGATTACAGCATGCATTCACTGTGTCATTGTTTCAATAAGCTTCTGCAATGTAACAAGATCTATTTCATCCAGTGTTGCAATAATTTTTCACCAAGATCTTACATTGATGATTAGACACTAGGCATGATGGGTGCATCACTTCACCTGCCTCTCTTCTTAACTTGATGCCTCCATCACTCTGAAACAGGATAAATCTGGACTCATCAGACCACATGACCTTCTTCCATTGCTCCAGAGTCCAATCTTTATGCAAATTGAAGCTTTTTTTTCCAGTTAGCCTCACTGATTAGTGGTTTTCTTAACAGATGTTCAGTCCCAATCCTTTGAGTTCCCTTCACATTGTGCACGTGGAAATGCTCTTACGTTCACTATTAAACACAGCCCTGAGTGCTACTGTTGTTTTTCTTTGATTTGATTTCACCAAATGTTTAAGTGATCATCAATCACGATCATTCAGGATTTTTTTCCGGACACATTTCTTCTTCAAAGACGATGGGTCCTCACTATCCTTCCAGTTTTTAATAATGTGTTGGACAGTTCTTAACCCAACTTTAGTAGTTTCTGCAATCTCCGTAGATGTTTTCTCTGCTTGATGCCAATGATTTGACCCTTCTCAAACAGACTGACATCTTTTCCACAACCACGCGATGCGTCTTTCAACATGATTGTTTAAGAAATGAGAAGCAACTCATTGCACCAGTTGGGGTTAAATAACTTGTTGCAGCTGAAAGAATCGCCCATAGGAGGCTCCTACCTATTTGCTTAGTTAAATCCAGGTGACAACTTTTTTTTTGGCTAGGCAGTGTATGTGATAATTACTGGGGAGAAAAAAAAACATTTATCTTCAGACATAAAGTCCGTTATGGTGTTTCACTAGTGGTACCTAAACATTTTGACATGTAAATAAACTGATTTATTCTGTTCACTATGAATTGGATCACCATGCACTTAATTTAATTCTTTATTCAGTTTTTTTTTACTGTTGATAAAGAATTTGCTTCATTGCATGATCTCTGTCAAACAAGAAAATGAGAAGGAAGTCGGTAAAAGGCAGGGGGTGATGAATTCCTCCAACGAACACCAGAGCTTTAAATACTCTAGTAAATGATGAAACGTTTGCATTTTGTACTATTTCCGGTGGCAGTGGAAGTATTACGGTAACAGCCTTCAGACTGCGCGCGCTTCTCTGAGCGCGGGTTATTACGGTACTGTTGTTTGCTGCTCCCGGGTCTGAGAGCGCGAGCGCTGCCACGAGCCTCACTAACTGCTCCACTCTCCTCGCGCACCCTCGGCTAACGTTCCCGTCAGAAGCGAACTCTGGATACCGCTCCGCTCCCCGCTGTAAGTAACACCCGAACAGCTCTGGTTTCTCTTTGGGTTTTTACTCTTTTGGCCACTTCTCGTCACAGTGGACCGCACTTTTTAATGTCGGATGCTTCACGCTTTGTTTCGTGTCGGAGTTGATAATTAACCGCTAGCTAAAATATAACAGGTCTCGCGCAGCGAACAGCGGGGCTGGTTTATTTTCGGATGCTGAAGTTTGGGTCAGCTCTGTTTGTTGAGGCGACTCTTTAAAGTCGCATTGAAAAACATTTCTAAAGCGCTGGGCAAAGTAAGTTGAGCGTAAATAGTCCCGTTGAAGTAAATCCTCTCGCCAACATGAAAGGTTTGCATCATTTTGAACGCTTTTAGTTCCTATTTTTAGCGCTTCTCTAATGGCGGCTACACTTCAACTGTAACTGTAAACTTATCGTGCAGCAAATACAACATTGTTTTTATTTTCACATTATGCGCTGATAATAATATTACTCGTGTTGGCTGCAGGGTTTTCACTCCGGATGCCACATTTTTGCCCCTCATAAATGGTTTCTGCTATAAAAGAGGGGAAACGGCAACGAAATAAATAATTCATTGAGAATTAAAACTGCACCTTCACTTTATCTGATGGATGTTCTCCAGAAAAGAAAGCATCATTTGTAAATACTCCTTGGAGGATTAAAAAAAGCTTCTGCAGCAGTGTTTATCAGGAGGAGCCAGGAGAGGGGATCATATCTCTGTGCTGTGTTTATATGAAAATGACAAGATTTATTATTGTTTTTTATGTCCAGACTAAACACAGTTCAGTTTTATATACTTATATTTAGCTCAAGACTAACCTAATGGTAGACGGTGTTCATTAAAGAGCAGCAGTTTAGCTGTTGCTCATTTCTGGAAGAGATAAATCAGAGTGAGTAAAAATGTGTCTGCAGTTCACGGAGGTGTTTGGTGTGTCAAGACTCGAGTTAAGTTCAGCAGTGCTGCAGCCCACACACTTGGCTTGTCAGAAATTGTGGAGAAATTCTCAAATCAATTTTTCACAGGGGATCGCTCTGATGACTGAACTTTAAGCTTAACTCCTGTTTTGTTGTATTTGAATGTTTCAGCTGGCAGAGACCGGTTGAACGGTTGTGGTTTCTTTCTCCCTCAAAGTGACTCATCTGTTTTGCACATGCTTATCCATTGATATGCCCATGCTTGTTACGCCAAAACCATTTGAATGCACAACAAAACCTAATCTGGGATGCTTGTCAGACACACGTGAAACGATCTGCTGATAATTTAAGGATTTCATTCCTATGCATGCAACCATTTAGTCTTTTTGTATAGTTTTTTTTTTTATGTATAAAGACTTCTTTCCATGGCAGCAGTGACACTCTTCCTCTAATCACCTTTTTCTCAGGCATATATCATCCAGGCTGTGTGGGTGGGTAGGGGGTTCTAATTGGCTGAAGAAATAGGAGCGATATAACGGGGCTTCCATCACTGTTCTTCCTGCCCACGGTGAGAAAGTTTTCAGCTTTGTGAGAGATGAAGCAAAGTTGGTTTGAAGTAATCTGCAGTGGGTGTCAGTTGATGTTGCTGTGGTGGTGCTGAGGTAGCCGTCAGTCCTTTTTTTGGCTCTGATGTGTCAAAGATGTCTGTTTTTAACCAAAACTGTTAGGTGCTTTGTTTCCGTAGTTGCACCGTAGTGTCTGAATGGAGTAGCACAAGGGTCTGGTGAAGATGCCAGATGGGGCTCGAGAAGGACACTTTGACACATTTTCTCTCCCATAAATGCTTAATAAAGGGCTACCTTTGCTAACCCCCTCAAATACACTTTCAGCTTTTATGTAAAGTTTCTCACTAATGGCTCCAGTGCAGAGCAACCTTATGCCTCTCTGTCACAAAACTGTTGTTCTCTCTCAGCTCAGATAATGCATCCTAATACAGGGATATGTATTGTTACCCCAGAGTTACTGGACTCTGCACATTTTGCTTGTTTTTACCCGTGTGTAATGAGCCACACGGGATGGAAGGATAGGACCTGTGTACTTCTCCGAGAGTTAAGGCTCCAGTATACTCGGTCGGACCTTTTTCTGCGTGGACTTGACGTGCACTGTCCGCAGAGGGTTGAGACTTCATACTCGAGCATCCACCCTGAGCGGCTGCAGACTAGCTCTGCAGGCAAGGTGCATTTACCTTCGTGACAAATTGAGTTTGCCGTTTGGTCATTTGCTGACACACCTACTGGATTGATTGACGGGTTGAAAAAAAACAAAAAAAGACCTGGCAGCCCCAGCTGCCATGGTGTTCTGTGTTTATATGTTGTTAATACAAAGTTCTTAAAAAACAAAAAACAAACAACAAAAAAAAAACAAGGAGCGCTGACCCTGCAGCCCACACATTAGACTGGCCCACCAAGAAATCTCCAGACCTTTCCACAGCCATGCTGGACCTGATTTTAATTCGTTCTTGACAAATTCCTTCATTTCTCACCATTTCAGTCATGGCATCAATGGAGGAGGAAGAGATCACTTGCCTTTTGGCAAAAAAACAAAAGAAAAGGCCAGATCAGGGATTAAGAAGGGGATTTTAGTACATTGGTGTCACATACAAAATAGTCCGTCCCTGGGCAGTTTATTGTGCGACACCAAGTACGCGTACGCAGTCGTAAAAATTGAGCTTTGCACGGACATGCCCTGTGGGCGTCCGCTTTGACTAATCTGGTACACGTGGACCTCCACGGACTGACGTACGCCCGAGTATACTGGAGCCTTTACAGTAGCTCATACAGACAGTTTAGCTTTGTTGGACACTGACTGAATACAACCACAGGGAGTCTCAGAGGGTCTCTTTATAAGCTATATACCAGGTAGCTAAAACAGATGGTAACCCCTCTTTTATTTAAACGCCTTGCTGCTTTACACGGTCTCAGAACAGCATGGCAAAGCAGGAGTGTTAACAGTTTTCTGGGTGTTTTAAGATAAGCACATGTGCTTGTGCAGTTCGTTGAATGTGTGAGAGTAGTTTTCATGCTGAATGAAGTGCTGGTCTCAAACATACATGAGCAGCACATTGCTATAAGATAAAGATGTTCTTCATCACACTTTTTGTACAAAAATTATGTTTTATAAAATATAGCTTTATTTTCTGTTTTGGCTGATTTAAATATATTGTTGTTGCAACAAGTTTAAATGAGAGAACAACTAAAATAGTGCACTATATTTATATTTTTCACTCAACAGCCTGCTGTCACCAGTAATAATATTAGGTCTGTGAGACTGGCTTTCTTCCCTCAGCTCTTTGCTTTTAATTTCCCATTCTCAGCTGTGACACCGAGTTAGCTATAGCTTTAATAATGATCCTCCAACAGATGTGCTTCTGTTTATTAGCCACGGAGACGAGATTAGAGCAGCTAAGACTGTATGTTGTATTTCAGTCTTGTGTGTCTCATTGATTACCGTACATCTGGGTGAGACAGAAAATCTATTCCATTGTGAAAAGTTGGCAAAAGGATATATCCAATTTTGTGCATTTTTGGCACATAACTTATCTCTGCCGATGCAGCTGTCTTTTTAAACGAAGCAGAATCTAATTTTTGGGCTTATTATCTTTGATAAGCCATACACGTCTTATTGTAATGATGTTTGAAACCACGTGAGTTCTGTTTGTCTCACTCCTCTGCAAATGTCTGAAGTCATTATAAATGTTGAGTTGTTGATTATTTAAACAACTAAAAATAATCTGTTTTCTTTAAAAAACATTTAAAAAATCCCTTCTTGAATAAGCTCCCAGGCACCAAAGAATGGGCCGTCGAGTTGGGGTGGTTTGTGGTTCAGGGAGCTCAGCTGTGGCTGTTTGAGTCTGTTTGTTTTCTGCTCTCAGTGGAATACTATCATTGTTTTGGCTGCTGGTGTCTGGTTGGTCCAATCAGAGGTTCTGCTGGACTTTTTTTCTTGTTGAAATTCAGTCAGTGTTCATTCCAACTTGCCATCTGCATTTAATTATTTAATATTTTACATTGGGGAAAAATAGCTTTTTATTACTTTTACTTCTAAAACAGTTCCAGTATAGTAGAAGTAACTACACAGAACAGTTTTACTAGGCCAATAGAAGATGTTCAGAGATACTGTACAGAACATGTACAGAGCCACCAGATATACTGACTGTGCTCTCAAATTTCCACATTACACAAAGCAGATAAATTGTGACTCTTACTCTGATGACCTACTGGAGTGTGAGCTGAACTTGGACTTTCTTCGCAATCTAACTGGATTTAAAGTGGCTGCTAGTTTATTGATATTCAAGGAGATGAAGCTGTTGTCTTAAGGTTTTGCCTGTTTCTTAGACAATTTTTCACAACAGGTGAAAACTAAATCCCTGCTCTGTTAATACAGTAGAGACTTGCGTGCTACTTCAGCCAGTGTTTTGAAGTCGGAGTACGAATCTCACGGAGAAGTGATCAGGTACTGTTTGAAGAGGCTCTGAATTCTTTAAGATCTCACTTTGTTGGGAGGATATCCTGCTGAATGTGCTCCTCTGCACCAAGGGTGGCTCAGTGATCACAGTTTGTAGCTCTTCAAAGCTTCGTCAGCCTCCGGATAACGAGATGCATCGAGCACCGTGTCGAGGTCAGTGATGATCCCCACACACTCTGAAAGAAATCCTATTTGACATATTTCATCTCATCTGCAATGCAATTTGTGCACTAAATGGAAAAGACCTGTGAGTTTGAAGGCACAGAAGTTTCAAACAAAACTTGAAAATGCATCTGTGTACTCAAAGCAAAACCTAAATGATAGCAGAGCACTAGTCTGCAGTGGTTTTTGTCATTATTCCAGTATACCGTCATGGTACACAATCCTGGTGTGTTCATCTGTTAAAGACTGCTTCAGGATTGTTTTCCTCTCAATTAAGGAAGGGAAAAAATTGTGTTCCTATACCAGGTCTACCATTTTAAACAAGTCTAGGATGTGTGGTTGTCTGAGCTCCAGATAGTCTCTCTGAAAGAGTTCAGACATACAACATGAGGAAAGAAATGG